AATATTATTATTTATATTATTATATATATTATTATTTATATTATTATTTATATTATTATTTATATTTATATTATTATTTATTTCCTTATTTATTTCTTTATTTATTTTATTTATTTTATTTATTTTTTTATTTATATTGTATGTACTATACCATAGTGCTAATTCTTTAAATATTGTTAATGGGTCTCCTTCTTGCTGCTGCTGCTGCTGCTGCTGCTGATTGTACGGTTGCAGTTGTTGTTGTCCTGCTGCTGCTGTTGCTGCTGTTGGATAATTAGAGGAAAGATAGATATATTGCTGCTGCTGATTATCTTCTTCTTCTTCCTCTTCTTCTTCTTCTCCTTCTGCTGCTGCAGCAGCAGAAACCTCCTGCTGCTGCTGCTGTTGCTGCTGCTCCTCCTCCTCTGGTGAATATAATAAGAAGAATACATCTGCTGCTGCTGCTGCACGCAGCAAACGGATTGTTGCTTCTCCCCACTGCAGCACGAGACCATTATCTGCTGCTGCTGTTGCTGCTGCTGTAAAAAAATGTTGAGATTTACGAAGATTTGCTGCTGCTGCTGCTGCTGCTGTTTCTGTTGCTGCTCTTTCTCCTTCTCCTGCTGCTGCTGCTGCTACTGCTGACGAGGCTCCCTGCTCCTGCTGCTGCTGCTGCTGCTGCTGCTGGTTGCGTGATTCAAGGGAAGGGAAGAGGGGAGAAGAAAAACGCATGCGCTGCTGCTGCTTGCTGCAGATAATATTTAGCAGCACAGCAGCAGCAGCAACAAGCAGCAGCAGCAAAGACAGCAGCAAAATTAATTTATATATTTTTTTGTGTCTTTTTTTTATTTTTTTTATATTATAAGAAGAATATATTATTATATTCTCTCCTTTTCCTCCTAACATCTTTGCCTCCTGCTGCTGCTGCTGCTGCTGCTGCTGCTGCTGTTGCTGCCTGTGCTGCTGCTGCTGCTGCTGCTGCTGTTGCTGCCTGTGCTGCTGCTGCTGCAGTTACATTTGTGTTTCTGCTGCTGTTGCTGCTGTTGCTGCTGTTGCTGCTGTTCCTTTGCTGCTCTTTCTTTCTTTTCTTTGTGTTTATTGCTAACAACAGTTTATTTTTCTTTCTTTTTCTTTTTCTTCGTTATTTTATATTTATTTATAATTATATTTATTTATTTATTTATTATATTTATTTATTTATTTATTTATTTATTATATTTATTTATTTATTAATTTTTTTTTTCTTTGTTATATTCCTTTAATACAATTAATCCCTTTAATAGAATTCTTCTTATTTATTTATTTATTTATTTATTTATTTATTTATTTATTTATTTATTTATTTATTTATTTTATATTCATCTTTTTTTCTTTTTTTTATTTCTTTCCTCCCTTTAGGGTTACTGCGGTGTATTGATGACTATGTGCATATAAGAAGAGGAAAAGGGAATAAATAAGAGGAAAAAAAGAAGAAAAAAGAATAAAAATAAATAAAAAAGAATAAAAATAAAATAAAAAAGGAATAAAATAAAAGAAAGAAAAAGAATTAATAAAGAAAAGGAAGAAAAATAAATAGATGAATAACCTTACGTCTCCCTCCCTTCCTTATTATATACTTACTAACTATATTGTTGCTATATATAACAAAAAAGGTATTTTTTTGCCTATTTTTATGCAAATAATTATTTATTTTTATTTATTTTAATTAATTATTAATTATTTCAATTAATTAAACAAAAAAATAAAGAAAAAACAATAAAAATAACAATATATGCATGCATGCATATACATATATTTATATAGACACATACAGACACACCAAGGGAGGGAGAGGTATGCATGCAAATAATAACTATTTTTTATTCTTTTTTTGTTTATTTTTATATTTTATTTATTAAATATAATTTATTATTAAATAAAAAAGAAAATAATACAAAAAAAGTAGCTAATAAAGGCAGCAGCAGCAGCAGCAACAACAGCAGCAGCAACAGCAGCAGCAAGGCAGCGAGACGTATACACAATCGATAAGAAAATAAATAAATAAATAAATAAATAAATAAATAAATAAATAAATAAATAAATAAATAAACAAATAAATAAATAAATAAATAAATAAATTAATTAATTAAATTAATTAAATATTTAGTTTTTTTATGCCTTTTTTTGCCTAATGCTCCTAATATATAACAATAATATTATATTGTATAACTGTACAATTTATAATTAATTAATTAATTAATTAATTAATTAATTAATTAATTAATTTATTTATTTATTTATTTATTTATTTATTTATTTATTTGTTGTTATATTCATTATTTATTTATAAGGAAGTTATTTATCTTATATTTATCTTATTTATTTATTTATTTATTTATCTTATATATTTATTTATTTATTTATTTATTTATTTATTTATTTATTTATTTATTTATTTGCCTTTATAGGCAAACTTTATTGCTGCTTATTATTAATGTTATAGGCAGCACCCTTTGTAGCAGCAGCAACAGCAGCAACAGCAGCAACAGCAGCAGCAGCAAAAGAAGCAGCAGCAGCAGCAGCAACAGCAGCAGCAGCAGCAGCAGCAGCAATAACAACAGCAGCAGGAGAAGCGTAGTGGCAAAGGATGCCACAACAGCAGCAACTACAGCAGCATCAACAACAACAACAACAGCAGCAGCAGCAGATGTAATTGTATGCATGCATGCATGCATGCATAACTTCCAAGGAAATGTGTATTGTATTAGAGCGCATGCATTTTTGGGGCTTTTTCTTCTTTCAGGGGAAAAAGGAAAAAAAAGAAAATAAATAAATAATAAGTATATACATATATATATATATATATATATATA